TGTTGAGACTCTGATTTGTAGTGGTGAGACACAGGAACAGATTGCCCAGAGTAATTGTGGATGCCCCTTCATTGAAAGTAGAGCCCATCACACAGCCAGGGTAGGTGTACAGACAGTGGAGAGTCATTTTACTCATATTGAAGACTTTTGCCAATTTTACATTACAAGAGAAACTCCTGTTCTTACTTAAAGTTCATTGAAGAAGTAGCTCTGGGCACACGTGCAATCCATGTTATCTGACTTCACACTTGGTTAGCTAAGGGAGACCATCATATATTTTGGTCTGATTGTCTTTTAAAGGCAGGTGATCATGACCAGACAGCCATTGTGAGCATTTGGGATCTATCTTCAGACTTTTCTGTCACTCACCACTGCAGCCCCATATCCTGAGAGTATGTCCTGTTCCTCTGAGTGATTATATAAGAAGTCAAGAGTTCTTCTGGATACCTTTACCAGAAAAATTAGGCTAAAAGTTACTTTATCTTCTAAGCTCTATGCATACGTACATATAAATACATATATAAATACATACATATATACATACATACACACATACATATATATATATATGAGATCGGGGAAGACAATGAGAGGCAAACTATCTGCATTCATTCATTAATTTCTTCTGTGCCACCTTCTTATGAAATCCATTTTACTAAGCACTATCTGCTCTTTTAAACCCATGCAGACTCTCATGAGTCATTTTGTACTTGTCAACATGTTCTAGCTTGTTGCTGACCAGTGATAACAAATCTCCCTCCATATCAATGTCAGATATAAAAAAATCCTAATATTTTTCCCCTCGGATATCTGCATATTTGAGAAGGATTTTATTAGCCTATTTTGGGTTCTCATTTTTACTCCTCTTTTAGACCATTATTTTGAACAATCCTGCCTTTTTAATGCTTATTCCAATGGAGAGGTATAAATATTTTATCTTAAATGTGTCCCAGCAGAAGCAGAGTGAACATTAGCTGTCTATAAGGGTTAACCCATTACTGAAAAGGATGCCTGATAAATTGAAAGTGTGGCTCTCCGCCAAGAGAGATTGGTATATTCTGAGCATTCATTTTCTGCCTTAGGAGTGGCAAATCACGTTGCTGGTATCAGATGCAATATAGCTTCTGAAAGAAGAAACCTCAGAGGCAAGTTCATACTTTGCTATTCAGAGAACTATCCACGGACTGTGTACATGAATTAAGGGCATGCCTTACTTACTAAGTTATCATTGTATCTGGAATTGTAAATTGTCACTGAGAAAAAAAAAAGAACCCATAAATAACTCTAAAACAAGTCAGATTCCATTTTCAAAATATTATGTAGTAGTGTATTAAAATAAAAATTTTAAGCAGTATTTATTAAGTCCTCCTTGATATATTTTAACCCCAAATTGCAGCCACCTTTTTTCCATTCTGAGTACTAAAATCAGTACTTAATACAGTAATGAAGACACTATTCAGATGCCTTAATGGAATTGTTAAGCATTCCCCCAGTCTCAGTACAGATCAGTAAAGAACTGCAGCCAAGCTGTCTGGAATTGAACCTATCATAGACCAATATATGTTTTAAGAATAATTAAACAGCTTTTAATCTTCCTGTTTTAAAAGAAAATAAATATTCCACACTTTTTTTCCCTTACAAGCTCATTTTTCTTTATAATCCCTATTGCCAAATTCCGTATCAGCATCATTGTATTTAATTTACATTGTGTTTGATTTATACTATTCTTAATTTATATTAATGTAAACACCTGCACAAGAGCAAGGAACAGAGGTCAGACTTTGATAAATCCAGGCCATACTAAGCCTAATCAAATTCTTTCCAAAGAAAAAAATGCAGAGTCATGGTGCTAATATTGCTTTCATGTACTGGAATTTGTGATGGATTACATTGCTTGTCTACTGCAGTCATAGAGGTCTACTAGCAGGCTTTTGGGGGGCCTTCAGCTTCTTGCAAGGGATTATAAAGAGAACAAAATACACCTCTTGGGCACAGAGAACACCTGTGTGCTTGCTGCCTGCTTCACCCAGTCACATTGCATAAAGCTTTTACCGTGTCCTGTGCTATGTGGGGACTCAACACCAGTGCCTCCAGCCCACCAGCGTTGATCTTGGCATCAGAGCCAAGCCTAGGGAGAATGGAGAGTTTTGTGTAATAGCACAGGGAAGATTCAAGTAATCTCTCCCAGCTTTCTCTGCCTCCTTCTCCTTCTCTCTTCTTGGCTCATGAGGTGCCTTCTGCCAGCACTTAGGCAGCTGAGGGCTGTTTGGAGCAAGAACACTGGGGACAGGTGAGGCTGAAAGGGATAGAGGTGGACAGGGCTGGGGGAGCACATCCTTAGAGAGAAAGATGGAAGAAGGGAGGAAGAGATGAAGGGGAAGGACAGAATTAGAACATTACACTCCTAAGAACTCTTGAACTCTTTAGCACTCTATTAACAGTTATTTTCCATAATTATTAAGAGGCAATTCTTATTAACCCACATTCTCTTGCCTTTTCTGATAAAAGACATTGAATTTGTTTTCCGTATAGAATCACCTCGATTTTGATTAGATTATATATTCAAGCTTTTCAGGACAAGCTCACACAGTAACATAGCAGGCTCTGAAACTTCTAAACTCTATATTCCTGCATCAGCCTATTGTTCATTAAGGAGAAGCTTCATATGTTTTAAAGAACTTATATCTAAAAGGAATAATTCTCCTTTTCTTAGGCAAAATTAATGTGTGCACAGTTACAGAGAATATATTAATTTATCTATCTTTCATATATTTAAATTGTGTTTGTACAAGAGGCCTAATATGTAGAATGGGCTTGTTTTGACATATGTGAAATGCATTGTCAATATTCATTTTCAAGATTTTCTAGTGGATGTTTCCTGTTGTTCAAGCAATGCAGAAGGAATACATTTTCTATCATTTTGCAAAATGCAAAATAATTTCCCAGTGAAAGATCTTTATTTGCTCTGTCTTCCTAACATTTTTTGGCAGGGAGAAAATCATGTCAACAATTCATGTAGAGCATGTGAAAAAATTTATTTTCCCCAGTGTGATTATGTACTCATGGTATTTCAGCAGTCTACGGAGAAACATCCTGTATATTAATGCACTGACTTAGAAAAATTATCATTCTTATTGCCTTCCAGCTGTTCAATGACATTATATACCTATCCACAAACAAATTGTAACCACTTTGGGCTTATAATTCATAATTCGTTAGAACTTTAATACAATGTTCTTGTTTTTCTTTCTCAGAGACCAGACTTTGCAAGTTTGGCATAGGAAAGAAACTGTGCTAGAGTATGCAAATCAAACCTTCAGAACTAAAATTCCAGCAACAACAGTTTTTCAAGATGTTTTGCATATTATTTTCTAATTTATTTTATTTTCTTATGTTTTTCAATAGTTAAACCACTTTTTACAGTGTTTCTGGGCACCTGTGTTTTCTTTGCTGTTTAATAAATCTCCAAAGTGGTCAGAACTTCAAGGTGAATCTGTCTTCATCTCCTCTTGAAAGTGAACATCCAAATGCACCAAAATGACTGTCAGCTTTTAAATGTAGCATTTTGTTTGAGCAGAACCTGCAGCTGTAAACTTTTTTTCAAATAGCAAACTGTTGGCTAAGACCTAAAGTCAGTTCAGGGGGTTGTAAACAGTTTTCCTGTCTTGCCTGTCTAATGCCTTTTTACAATGGGAAATTTTTCCTTCAGGCCTTCTCTTGGTCCAACAAAGACCTCCTGGGCTGTAAGAAATACCATAAAATGTATTCTGAACCCTAGAAGAGGTCCTTGCTTTAGTAACCTCCAAGGCCTGGATCCCCTAGGGACCTGCTTCCTGAGCCCACAAAGTTTTGGTGGGACTGCAGGCTTAGTCCTTGCTGGCTTCTCCACATGGTCCATACTGAGGCACGCTCGAAGCCTCCTCTCCTGTGAGTACTTTGTTGCCTTTAGGAAAAGAGAAACTCATTTCCCTGCGAATGAAGTGAAATCAGTGCACTGCTGGCAGGATATAGTGAGCAGAAGCCTTCCTTGCCACCCAGACATACTACATTAAAAGGTGATGCCACTCACGTGAGTGAAGTAAAACAAGTGTCATCCATCACATCTTGAAACAAGTCCAATAGTATGCACGTTGTATGAGAGCAATCGGAATTACACATATACTAAATAGGCATATACTTTTTGCCAGCTGCCTTTTATTCAAAACCAAAATCCACAACTAGTATAAACTACCACAAAGAAAATATGATGCTTGTAGAAAAGAAAAAGATGGAGTAGGAGGTACTCTGAACTCTTACCATACTGAACTTCCTTTATGATGGTACACTTGTTTACTTTTTTCCTTTACTTTTTTCCTTACGTGCAGTTACAGTTCCTGTGTGAATCAGTGATTGTCATTTATGCTTTTACAGCAGCACCTTAAAGATTCATTGTTTCAGTTGGGTTAAAGCAAACCTGAGAACTTCAGCTTGGCAAAGCCTCTGAAAATTTATAGTAAGCTTGTGTGCTCTGTTTTTAAACACAAGCAGCAATATCCTTTGGAACATTCTATATTTAAATGTAGACAGTGATTATTTACTCACTGACCACAAATTCTCCATAAATGTCTTTGTACAGTACCTGCTGTGCAGGAGTTGGACTGTGATGTGTGTACTTGAAAACTGATGTCCAAATATCACTGGCAGAGGTCCACTGGGGAGAAGCACTGGGAACACAGTAATTCCCTTGTGTGCAGTGCATACTTTTCTGTAGGTATTGATCCTCTGTGAAACCAATCTGTGCTACAAATCACAGTCATATGGTCCTGGTGCTAGCTGCTACTCCAAGGAACAGTCACTTACCTCACAGCCCTGGCTAGGTTTGGTACACTCAGCACTTGCCCAGTTCAGTGGGGGCTAGACACAGCCAGCAACTGTGTGAAAGTGCTTAACCTTCTGCAGTAGCAGCATTATTGTTGTCTCACTCTGTTAATAATTCATTCTTTTTTTTCTTTTCCTCTAAGGAGTGTGAGGGAGCTCTAGATCTTCCCTTTTCAGACCCTGAAGAAGCATCTGAGAGTCTTCCTGGACTGGGGGAACAAGAAGGTGACATGTAAGAAGAGCAGGATCCTCTGCATGGTGGCTCCTTCTCGCTGCCTCTGTGAATTTCATATTTTAAAGCAAAAAGCATGGCAGTGGTATTGCTTACATAAGTGCTTACATGAGCACAAGTGCAGGCCTAAGTTACCCATATTTCTGATGTAGCAAGCACTCCACACAATTTGAATTAAAAGACTACCATGCAAGTAAGTGGCATGCACTACCTATGTGCATTGTGAGATGTCTTGGAAGATATTTCACATCTTGTCAGGCCAGCTTTAGCTAATAGTTCAGTATGAAAGAAATGATCCCATCAGCTATGGGCTACAGCAGCTCTGGGAGAAGAGTCAGGAGTGGCAGTGCCATGCCCTAGCCTGGACCCCTGCCTGCTTGATGCATGGCCCTTTGGACAGGGGGTAAGAAGGAAGCCAACAGCGGGTGAAAGGCTGGAAGAAATGCTCCCTTAGATCCTTCCTTCCTTCAGAACCTTTGTACGGTGAAATGTAACACTGGATTTCTTTCGGAGGCCTCAGAGGCTATTGTTTTGGTAAAGCTAAACTGGGGTATTTTCCCCCAGAAAACATTCAGTGTAAATATCCACTGGAGTAGATTGAAACATTGCCTTTGAATTGCTTATAATAGCTAATTTATTGATCTATACAAAAGGTTAGCTGCAATTTCAGAGCTGGTTCTATTAGACTTTATTTAATGAGATGCTTTATTGCATTATAAGACAGCAGACACCCTTGTTTGTGAGTTGTTTCAACTGCTTTACTTTGCTGTTGAGACCTTGCCACCACACCATCTTGGTGTCTGTAATCTGTTCTGTGGGTCACAAAGGGGCATCAAAGGATATTCTTTGTTTGAGTCAGTCTTTGTTGTTACAAAAGGCTTTGAGAAAGTTTCTGGTACTTTTGTACAGGAAACTTGTAGGAGACAAAGCAATAACAAGCTGAAGAATAAAAAGCTCTTTCCCAAATAGCATAATATCACACTAACCAAGTTGTATCAGAGTGAAAATTACTAGATAGAGTGTTTTATTAAAATATTTTCTGTCAATTTGCTTATTATACAAGAGAAGGTTAAAAGCAATATGTTTGCATTGTCTGCCATAGAGGTGCCATTTTCTCTGACACACATATGTTACTCGATTATCATTATCCCACATTTCTTCATTTTCTGGATCAACTCTTAATAAGGTTTCCAGCATCAAAGGCCCTGTTCAGCAGCAGGCTGGGAATCCTCATCCTGCTCTTTCTCAGAGGGAATGAGACCACTTAGCTCCTTCCAGGACCTGGTATCCACTAAGAAATTATCAAGTTAGTTTCCCAACAGCTCAAGATTCTCAAAAACATAGTGCTATTTTAGTGTTCGTGGTATTTTCCCCCTAAATATTTAGACTGTGTCATGGCAACATCTGCTTTTAGTTCTACATTTGTTTTCCTATCCTTCATTTAAAAAAAAAGTGACAGTTTCAATTTATTCTCTTTAAATTTAAAATTCACTATTTTTAACTTTTATTACCTATAAACAGTTATACCAATGGTTTGTGAGATGCTTTGCATTTCCTAGGCAAATTAAAATTACTACATTGATTGCTAAAAAGGTGTTTGCTATTGTGATTGATCATATTAGTTATGAAGAGGCACCTAAATGTTCAAGGTAAAAGCAAATATACAGTATGTACAACATATTGTAGGCTATTTGGAAGGGAGGGGTGACAACTAGAAGGCAAGCAGCAGAATTAGTATTCCCAGTACATATTTAAAAATCAAGAAGTAAGCTAAAAATAATCATATCAAAACAGGGGTAATCAATGGTCCAATTTTTTCCTGCCCAGTTAACTTTATTATGTTTGCATGAGTGCAAACCCACATACTATTATTATTTCTACTATATTTGAAGAGTGCTGGAAGTAAAATGCAGTGGATTCAAAAATAGGTACTTCCCAAGTGCATTTGGATGATTACTTACTTTGGTCAAAATAAGAAGAGGCTTAATTCTGATGCAGAAATCCAACATTCCTTTTTAGAGTGGTCTGATCAGTAAGTAAATCAATCAAACACATTTAAGGAAAATAATGCATGCAAGTCATTTGCCTATCTAAACAATACACAGGATCTTAATGGGGGTTTTATTAAAAAATATACTCTTCTGCTCAAATTCTGATTACCAACTGATTCTCATAAATCTTTATTCAACTTGCATATACTTATATGGGAACAGGGCAATGGACATATATAAAAAGGTTCAGTGAATTAATTTTAAAAAGGAAAACTATATTTTTGTGACCTTGTTTTTACTTTCTAAGTCTGAAAAAACCAGCAGTACTACCTAGTGATACTGAGACTTTACAATAAAGTTGAAACATGCTGCTAGTTTTGGCTCTGAAGTGGTACTGCTTCATGCAGGATAGTTAAGGCAATGTATGTACTAGTGTCTAATTGAAAAGAAAAAGATTTATAACTGGATTGTTCTTATCATCAAGAAACTACACCTTACTGTGGTCCAACAGAGAAACATACATAATAGACATATGGATATTTCATATCAGTTTATTCTGTACCACATTTTCCCCTATTTCTTTTAAAGTGAGAGTATAAATCTTTAAATGTCACTGTGAGTACTGGTTTTCACAGAACCTGCTGGATTGCTTGATCCAGGAAAGCTCCTTTCACTCCATTAGCTAACCATATCATTAAAGTTATGGTTTGTCATAGGTACATCCACTTCTGGATCAGGGCTGTTAGCATTAGATAGTAGTAGTAATTGATACTAAACAATATGTCTTCTTTGTAGAAAACTCATGATGCCTCTCTAATCTTAACAGATTTTGTACGTCTTAAACATTCAGAAACACTGAGCTCTGATCAGCTCAATGTTCTGTATATTGTAGGAGATACGGATAATAGAGTAATTCACATATATTTGCATTAATGATACTGAATTTCCTTAAAAGAGTAAATTTAATCTACTCTTCAAAAAATGAAAAAGTGTGACCAATATTTTTCTGGTAGGCACACTAGCTGAGCATCAGCTTTATGGCTGTTTGTTAAAGTAGGTAGAAAATAAAACCCTTTTCTTTAAGATTTAGGGTAAAACTTGAAAATTGCAAATGCATCTAGGTAGCTGAGGTCCCAGTCTCGAAAGGCACTTGGAGGACATCTACACTTGCCATGTGCTTTCACATTGCAAGTCATCTGTTTCTGGCACAACATCAAGTCTTTCACACCCACAGTGCAGAGCCTGCTCATAGCTTTTAAGGACTATTTCTCCCTCACCCTACAGTTACAAAGATTTAGTGTTAAGGATGGTGAGGCATGTAGTGACTCAAAACTTGCATCCATTTTAGGAAATATTTCTAAGATTATTGTGTCCCTGTAAAATGTAAAATGCCAATGGCTTTAACTCAGTTGTTACTTGAGGCACTTCTAAGACTGCACACTGGTTGTTTTCCTTCCCTCCATCCTGCTGCTGTTCATTCTGGCTTCCCTCTATGCTTGCCAGGAATTCATGCAACAGGTAGATGTTCTGTGAGATGCTGGATCCTGCACAGATTAGCTCTTCAGGTCTAAGCCGGATTCAGGAGGGGTAGGATCATATCAGTGTGGAGACTTAAGGTCACAAGCAGTGGCTCCAGATCTTCCATCCCTCAAGGCAGATCGTTTTCATGAGCTTGCCCTAAGCCTCAAGAAATGAGACACTTCTGCCCTGCAGCGGAAACAGTTCCACCATAGAGGTGGTTACCCCTCATAGCTGTAAGTTCATGACTGGGTCAGTACTGGCCTGCCATTATTTCTGGGCTAGTGAGGATGTATGAGACAATCAATCATGGGGCTTGTGTGTGGATAATGGGTATAACTAATGTGCCTGAAATAGCAGCTGGCTTTCAGATAATGGGCTTCCCAAAGCGCGCTAAGTGTCATTAATAGTATTCATGGCTGCAGGTCGCTTGCCAGTAAAAGTAAGTAAATACATTCATCAGAATTCAACACAGACAAGCATTAAAATGAAATATGTAGGAAAGGCACATGAAGAATTTCAGGGGGCAAATAGAGATTGTTTTGCATGGGCTGTTCTCTAGCACTATGACTTCAGAGACATCTGGGCGAACCCTGACAGGGTGCTGAACAAGGAACACAGTGCCTGCAGCAATAAAAACCATGAATGGCAGTTACTATGGTCTGGATTTGTTTCCTCCAGGTCTTCTTTAGTCTTTTCCCTAAGCCATCCTCATCCCAGGATGCCTCACAGCCCATTCTTTTTTGCAGGTTGATCCTGAGCTTTTAACTCCCTGGGTTGTTCCCAAAGCTGCATTCCTTTTCTGCTGCCGGCTTTATGTCCTTTCTGTAAAACTCTGTTCAACCATGTTGAGAACCATCCATTAAAATGAAAGCCTTTCCTATGCTGACCACGGAAATTAAGTGATGGGTATCATGAAGGTCAGTGCACCTGAGAGGGACTGTACAGAGGGCTGTGGTCAGTTGCACCAAGTCCAGCTGGAGGCCAGGCCCTAGTGGTGATACTGGGACCAATACTGTTTAACATCTTGAATGACCTGAATGATGGGACAGAGTGCACCTTCAGCATGTTTGCTGGTGACACAAAACTGGGAGGAGTGATGGACACACCACATAGCTGTGCTCCATTCACATCTCGATAGGCTGGAGAAATGGAAAAACAGAAGTCTCATGAAGTTCAGAAAGGGGAAATGCGATGTCCTGCACATGGGGAGGAGTAACCCCACGTAGTGTTATATTCTGGGGCCTGGCCGGCTGGAAAGCAGCTTGGTAACAAAGTGCCTGGAGATCCTGGTGGACACCAAGTTGATGAGGAGGCAGCAATGTGCCCTTGTGGCCCCTCCTGGGCTGCATTAGGCAGAGCCCTGCCAGCTGGTCAGGGAGGCGATCCTTCCTCCCTGCTCAGTCTGGTGAGAGATACCTGGAGTGCTGCATCCAGTCCTGAGCTCCCCAGTGCAAGACAGACACGGACATACTGGAGCTGATCCAGTGAAGGCCTGAAGATGATTATGGCCTTGGAGCACCTGACATATGGAGAGTGAAGGTAAGAGCGCTGGAGCTGGTCAGCTTGGAGAGGAGAAAGTTATCTGAGGGATCTCATCCATGTGTATAAATACTTGACTGGAGCAAGTACACAAGATGGAGCCAAACTTCTCAGTGGTATTTAGTCAAAGACCAAGAGACAATGGGCACATATTGAAATGCAGGCAGTTTAGGTGAAGCATTAGAATAATCTTTTTCCTGTGAGGGTAGTAGAACACCATCAGAGATGGGAATGCCTGCACATATGAGAGTCATGCATGGAGTTTTAGTATTCTCAGTAATTTCGCCACATTGGCATTGTGGATATATTGGTTAGGGCTTCAGATACATCAAAAATCATTAGGTTCTTTCAGATATTTTTGAAAGTTTTTCTTATATCTGTTCTTCCTGCTTACTTATTGAAGTATTTTTTGCAAAGATGAAAATTTTAACTACTTCCATTTTTTTAAAGTCTTTTTCTAGTTAATGCTTTATTTTATTTATACTTCAGTATCAGCACAAAAAGGTAGTAGTAAGTCAGGCTATTTAATATTTGCATAATTTGCTTTTTTTCATTACATTGGTAATTGTGTAGCGGTTTGCAGCTGATTTACACAACTCATTTTTGTGCAAACAAAACAGTTATAAGCACTAATTAGAGCACTTTATTTTAGCAGCACACAAAATCCCCAAATTTTGACCTTGGGTACCTATATCAGTTCAGAGCTTAAAACTTCAGCAGATGTTGTCTCTTTTTCTTGGAGTAGGTTACAGAAACAGAAGAGGCAAGTAGGTAGTCCTAGGAAGTCCGCTCTCTGTTCGGGCACAAGGATGCTGTCATGAGCAAGAATCTACATACCATCTTCTGCTTGTTTGCTTGTTTGCTGTAGTTCAAGGATCTGAGATAAAACATTAAAAATGTTGTCTTTTAAGGGAAATAGAGAAAATCTTCCTGCCTCCTCAAAACATCAGACGGCTAAATCCAAGGGCACACAGACACATAACAGGGCAACAGATAGATTGCAGGTTCGTAAACATACACAGTCCGTAAAACTCCCATTTAAGTACCTAATTTTCTGATCCTGAGCATATATGGAATTGCTGTCAACTTGCCTAAACTAATTGTGCTCATGTTTTGTCTGATTCCTAAATCTGCTTGGGACTGACAGACCAGGTAACCTGACTATTAACTTCCTGAAGGGCCCATTTCCACAGGCAGGCTCAGACATCCTCCTCCTCTGCTGAAATCCCCCACTGTGCCAACATGAAAGATTCATGGAGCCATAAACAGAGCAAGCCAAAGGGACCACGCCTTTTGCACTGTCCTAAGGTGAATATTCCCCAGTGAGGCTGACAATAACTGGCTACCACTCTGTGGCAGGATGTCCAACTATTTTTTCCTTCACTTTTGTTAATGAATCTAAATGTATCTAAAAAAAAAAATCCATTGTTGGTGTACTCCATGTGTTTCATCTATGGACCTTTTGATCTGATGTTCAGGGATGTGACAATCAACTTTCAAGATAAGGTTCTTTTTCAATTAAAGGAAAATAAAGAGAAAATAAAAGAACAGTGGGCAGGGAAGATACTGCTGTATAAAGTGCATCTCTGGTCTGCCCAGTGCTCAGTTCTGGCAAGACTGGGATCAGTTTTTTAATGAAATCACATTTTAATGTGAGTTGTACCGATTTATGTAACTCTTAGTAAGAATACGATACCACAGTCCCAGGCTCACATTGGCGACCGGTCCATCTAAAATAATCAGAATCTACCCTTCTACCCAGATGGCAGAGCCACCAAGAGCAATGTGGTAGGCTCAAGCATTTTCCATCTATTCAGAATGGAAGATGTGGGGCCTTTCGGATCCAGAAATGTGTAGAAGTTGCAATATCTTAATATTATCAAAGTTATTTTAGGTAATTTTTGATTTTTATTTGCAGGAGAGATTTTCCTTGCCACCTTTTAAAGATCTAATTAATCAAAAATGTGTATGGAAACATGTCAGTCACTTAGGCATGTCTCATAACTTGAAGGTAACTGGTGGTGCAAATCTGCAGTTACTGAGAAATACTGCAATCCTCCAGAAACTGAACCCTCAGTCTGACCATCTTCATATTTCTCCTACCTAGCCTTCAGGGAATGCATAACAACAGGAAATTAAAAAAATGAATCTCTTCTTTAGAATACTCATGAAATAAAACTTTTCCTTGGCAATATTATACTTCTTTTGCTTTTGATTAATTCTAGGGTCTTACTTACACACTTCAGATGACCTCCATACTACAGCATCAAATAAGAAGAAAGGGTAGTTCCTTGAAAATCAAGATTCCATTAATTTAAAATTCTCTGAGGGAAAAAGCTGTAGATAGAAAAGAGCTGGCAGGAAGTTTATATGCTGCCAGTGTGCTATATTCGCCATAAAATGCACATCTAAATCAGGTGACTGCTTTCTTCCATTACTAGCATTGGGATATGAAGAAGCAGTTGTTCAGTGTAAAACAGCTCATGTGAGTAAGAGAATGCAATTAAATTATCTTGAGCCAGGCACCCATGAAAGCTTCTCCTGTAGCAAAGAGATGGGGAATCATAGAGTGCCATTGCCTAGAATGATTTATTTGTAAAGTCCTGCATAAGACAGAGGGAAGTATGCATATTCCATTCAATTATGCAAATATTGTCAGCTATTTAATATATAGTATATTTATTTCTGAGAAATCAGTGATATTTAGGAAAAAAAAAGACTTATCCCTCATTTCTGGAGCAAATCCAAACCAGCAGCTGGAATTTTATGACTCCTGTAGAATTCTGAAAAATCCCACATTCAGTCCTAAGGAATTGTTACTCACATTCAACGTGATGACACTATAAAAAATAGCTAGAAAATGGCTTATTGTGGACTGAAGAGTAGGGCAATCTACTTCTTAATTCCTCTGACCTGCAATTATGCAGAATTCCAGTGCTGGCAAAAAATTGGCTGGAGGATCGGAACTACAATTTCAAGGCTTAATGTTTGTTTTTCATTCATAATGGAAATGCCAGAAGTAAAAGCTGGACATCAGAGATTGTAAGATTTGTAAGATTGTAAAATATGTAAGATTTAGGACATGGATGAATGTCCTAAATCATCTGAATCATCTGAAGTTTTATTTCATCCCACAGTACTTGAAAGCCCAGCTTTCATAGAAGAAATAGCAGAGGTAAATGCCAAAGTAATTTTCTTTTTAAAGTAGCTATATGACTTCTAAACCACTTCATTGCCTTGAAACCTATTCTTGGCTGTGTATTCTCCTGGAACTCTTGGGACAGTTTTCAGCACCTGCTCCTTTTGACGGTGCCTGTTGGGCTTAGCAACTGCAGAGTCTTGTCTCTCTCCATTTTCTCTGACCCTGCTTGAACACCCCAAAGGCATCTTCTGGAAGCTTTGCCCTGTGAGCAAAGAATCTGTCTGGAAATCTTTATTTTATAGTGCTTACAAATTCCTATGCATACTCACATTTTTCTTTAGAAATACCAGTAAAAAAACCCCCAACATTATTTAAGTAAAAGGACTATGACAGTAAGGCGAATATTAGCATAAACATATCTCTTCTTCAATAAAGAACACAAGATTGTCGTTCAAATATGCAGGAAATCCAAATTTAGTGCCACCAATAATGAAACAAAAATATCAGTGGTCACATGACTCAAAGCTGACATAAACCCGGTCTGACACTTCTAACTTGGTAAAATGATTTTGGTTTGTTAACACCATGTTGCTGGGTTTTGTTCTAGATCAGGTATCACCTGTCCCCTCGTAGGCTGCAAGAGAGTTGCCAACAAAAGCAACTCTTCATCTCATACTCTTAATTCAACAGAAATCCAGGATATACCTACTCTCTGTTTGAATCACTGATCCTGCAGCATTACTGATGATGGGATTGTGGCCCAAGTGCGATGCAGTAAAAGCGAGGAGCTGCAGCTTTCATCAACGGGATTTTAAACAAGGGGTTTTCATAAGTAGCAAGACACACATTCTGCTTGAAGGGCTGGCACAAAGTCAAGACAGAAGAATGCTGTGTCAGGAAACTCTCATATTTACAGTATAAATTAAACCTAGGAAACCCTTCAAATCTTCATCTGAATAAAGGGTTCACATGTAGTTGTTTGACCACATAAAATGACAAAATTTCTATAAATGTGAGGAAAGCACTGACAATATAAAAATAATCACAACATAATTTTTAGGCAGGATGAAGCTCTTATTGCAGTCCATGCCAAGAAGTGCCTTGGAAGATTAAAAAAAAAGTCACCTGCACTACTATCATTATTTTCAAGTAACATTCAAACCTGCCACTTTGAATTTTTATGGCAGTTGTTTTTTCCTTGTAAAAATTAAAAGGAATACTTAATTGCCGCAGCATTACTCTCTTATTAGGACATGGTTGTGTCAGAAATAATTTTAGTGGGGAGATTTGAGGTCTTTTGGTCAAATGGTCGCAAGGAATTGGCTGTAATAGTAACAGAAATCCGACCTGTCACAATCGGGTCCTGGGCTCTTTATGGTGCAAATTCTTGTTTATTTGATCAGGGGGCTGTCGGTGCCGTTCCACGGGAGTTTGCCTCTGTTTTAACTCCTTATTCCCCAGCTTTCGCACACCTACGTGCAGGCAAACTGGCCAGTCGGAAACTGCGGAGGAAAAGGGACGAGCCCATTCCAGTGGTGCCTCCCTGAGGCGGGAGCCGCGGGGCGAGACGAGGGGCCGGCGGGACGGGCAGCACACGCCGTCCCCGTACCTTGGGCGCCCGCAGGGGCCAAAACTCAAACCCTTGCACGGGGTGCGGTTCCACACCCCGCTGCCGTCCTCACGGCCGCGAACACTCGTGGCGCGGCCGCGCCCGCAGCCCCCGACCCTGCGCCGCGCGGGAGCTCCGCGCCCCGTCAGCACCTGGCGGCCGAAAGGCGGTGGCGACCCCTGCCCCGCCCCGCCCCGCCCCACCTGGTCGCGCCGTGCTCGAGCGGGGCCGAGCGAGGCCGCCCCGGGCTCTCCATTGTGCAGCCACCAGCTCTAGCCACCTGCCGGCGGCGCCAGGGCCGGGCACTGCTCCGCGCCTCCCTCTGCCTCCCACAATCCCCCCGCCCACCCCTCCGGTCCCCGGCTGAACCGGGGAGAGCCCTCGCCTTCCCTTCCTCCCTGCCTCCCGTCCCCCAGGCTGGCGGAGCTCCGCCGCCTCCCCTCCCCCGTCCTCCCTCCCTCCCACGGCGCGGCCGCCGCCCCTCCGCCCTTGCCCGCCGGAGCCGCCGACTTCCCGCTGCGCGCGGGTCGCCGCCGCCTCTCCCTGCCATGAGCCGCCCCCCGCCGCCGCAGCAGCGCTGAGCGGGGAGCGCGGAGCCATGCCGGGTTGGAAGAAGAACATCCCCATCTGCCTGCAAGCCGAGCCGGAGCGAGGTGAGCGCGGAGCACCGGGGGCGCCAGCCGCCCGCCGGCGCGGGAAGGCAGGCAGGCTGGCGGGCGGGGGGCTGCGGCGCCGCCGGGCGCCCCCTCCCCAGCCCATCCCCAGGGCACGGCGGCTCTCGCCCCGCGGTGGGACGGGCGGGCGGCCCCGCGCCTTCCATCTTGCTCCGCCGCCGCGGTCCTGGAGCGGGGGGCGTGCGGGGCGGTGGCGGCTGGGGGCCGGCACCCGCGGCGGGGCGAGGGAGACACACCGGGCCGGGCCCCGCCGCTCCCGCCCTCGCAGCAACTAACTTTTCTCCGCGGTGCTGCCGCCTGCGCTGCCCCGGCCCGGGCTTCTGCAGCCGGGGGCGGCGTGAGCCGGGGGGCGCGGGGGTGCTCCGAGTGACTTCGGGAAACTTCCCCGCGTGTGGCTCTGCCCCGGGCCGCTGCTGGACCTGTCTCGTCGCTCCTCGTGGGACGCCGGCACCGCGGGGCCGCGATCGCCCGCTGCGAACTGACAGCGATCGCGCCTCGGTGCCCAGCAGCGCCCGCAGGAGCTGCCCCGAGTCCTGTCAGCGGCCCAGGGATGGCCTCAGGTTCCCCAACTCCGTCGTACGGGTCGGTGCTGGCGGAAGCGAGATCATTTCTGGTCGCTTTTCAAAATAAACACTCTATTTATTCTACCAGAAAGGTAACTTTGCCCTTTCCTCAGAGAGGGCTTTTGTCACGGCAGGTGTTGTGTCACTTGCTCTGCCTGTAAGTCAAAGGCAAAAAGGCTCGTACATCATTTACACTCAGGTATGTCCGTCGTCTTACGTCTTTGATTTACAGTTTAATTCTATGGTAGCATATGGAGTCCTGAAGTAGGACGTTTGGGTTTGGTTGCCGCCAGGTTGGGTAGCTGGCTGTCCTGCTAGGGACAACAATTCACCAAGTATTAAAAAGGAGGAGGTTCTGTTTGCTGTGTGGAAGAAATCTTGTTCCCTTGCATTGGAGGTGGAGGTCTGTTGCAGAACTGCTGCCCTGCTTCTGACTAGTAAATCCTATTCCTAATGGGAGGTTCATTGCAAATATATGACATCATGAAAATAGTCACTGAAACGGGAACAGGCATTTCAGCTGTGAAAAGCAAGATTTTTAGTCTTTACTCTTAGTAAATACATCATTACTGAAATCTGTGGTCATATTTCTTTATGTCAGGAATCTGTGTAGCTGAGGAATCACAGAAACAGGATGGATGACAGTTGTCAAAATATATCAGATGCTTTTACAGATGAGGGAACTTCAGAAAGGGTCTTGTCTGGCTATGTCAGAAACTGGAAAGATTTTCTCATATTCTGCATTACGGTTGTGTCATGAGCTGTAACGTGCGGACTTGTCCTTATTCAGAGTAAACAATGGTGGTGGTTTTGCTCTGATGGGTTTAATGCCAGTTAGAATACTGATTTGTTAACAGTTCTTGTTTATTCCTATTTCTATTTAATCTCTTTCATCCTCATTATGGAGCTGAATAGATTTATATGTTAATAGTCTTATCACTGGTGCTTTCCTTTATTGTATTTCGGTTGTGTAAATAACTGTGCCTAAAGTAAATTATTACCTTCTGAAGTATGTTGCATTGTACAGTGCTCAAGTTTAGTTAGTAATTTAGCAGGATTCCAGTCACTGGAACTTTTCTGATTCAGACTCGGAAAAATATTAAATAGTCAAAATAGTTAATCAGTGTTGAATTTAATAGTTCTTGAGTATGAAGAATAGATAAAATAAAGCTTTCAAACTAGACAGAAAAACAGCCAGTGTAGTGATGAAATGGAGGTGCATCTTTAGCTAATGTAGGAGTTTAGGGTGGCAATTGAGTAAAAGGCAATTACAGATACAGTTAAATTCTGGTTCAAAGCCAGTTGTGCTAACATCTCCCTCTTCTGTTTCTAGAAAATATTTCCATTCAGTTACTCTGCAGAACATTTTGTGTACATCGTGCTATCAGAAGACTTCCGTGAATGTAAACAGTGTTACTTTAAACTCACATTGTAGCCGATAACTTTCTGTGTTTTCGATATGGAGTAATACTGGGTGTGAAATATTTACTAATATAAATTCCTTTTATGTCACATATGCAAGCCTGCTTACATATAGGATGTAGAATATCCATTTATCCGTCCTAAGTGCATTTGTATATTGGATAATAATACTCTTATAGAATATAAGAATAAGAAATATTAAAATGCACATGTATTGTCTTTGATTTTATGTTTCTGTGATCTGATTGTTTAAACCAGTGTTTTGTTCCTGTGAGAGGAGCTAGGCTTTATTCAACCCCGTGAACACCAACAGGACTGACTAGTTGTGATTTTGCTGTATAACAACACAGACCTGCTAAGTTAATTTGGCACTGAAGTGTCTCTGTGGTGATCACTTGTAAAGCCAACTATAAAATGAAAAGGAAAAAAACAACCCATCCAAACCAGAAAAATACTCCACAACCACAAACCAAACAAAACCTCAGAAGATAAGTGAGTAGCTAACTAATGCCAGTTTATCCATATGCTTCCTGCTGTCTTTCCCTTTTAGGGAAGCCTCCCCTGCTGGTTTTATTATATCCATAGTTCATACCCCCCTTCTCTGTCATAATAAACGGGTACTGTGCAGCCTTAATTTCAAGTCTATTTGTAGCAGCAGATTTGAACTGGAAAACGTTGGCACTGGAGGTGCTGGGAAAACTGGGAAGGGAAAGATTTCCCTCTGGTGAACCAGAAATGGTTAGTAGCAGAGCATCTTTTCCCCTCAGTCCTCATAGGCTTCCCTTTAGCAGCTTCTTGAGAGCTCTGTCTAATATGGATCCTGGGTCCTCTGCGTGCACCTTGTAGGAAGCTGATTGGACCCTTATGTCCTCAACTGTGGAAGAGAGAGAAGTTCTGGGCACTAAGATGTGAGACTTGAGAGGTGGGTGGATTTGTTAGAGAGGATGTGGATGTGAAAATCTTGCTGTATCCTCAAGGCACTGCAGCATAAAAGTTTCACTGGGTACTGATGGTCTTTGTCCAAACCAATGCAGCACTGCTTTGGGGAGCACTTCAAGGCTGTTGCCTCACCCCTGATGCTCAGTTCATCTGGTACGTCTGGATGGCAGTGCTACTGCAGTAGAATGTTCTGGTGCGAGGGATCAACTTAAAAACTATCCAAGGAGCTGCTTTGTTTTGATGTGGGGAGCTGCTGGGATATTGCAAACAGTGATAACCTTGTGCAGACACACTGGGTTTGTTCCAGGTAGGGTTATTTTAGTGCATGAGTATTCTTGTTTGCCCCTTCTTTGCATCAAAGCCCCCCCCATCCATATTGAATACCTACCTCAAAAAGTCCTTAGCGTGCAGCCTGTTGTTGTTGTTCCTACAAGTCATGTGCTGAAATAGAGGTTATCCAAAAACTTGACAAAATCAGAATTTTGCTGATGGAAATTGGCCGGTCTTGCTGAAATGAAGTAGCAGAGACGTAGTCAATGCTGTTGGCTCACCTTGGCAACAATTGATACCCTGAGTGAAGGAGAGTAACCTGGGTTAATGTTCCAAGCATCAGAGCACGTGTATGCATGTCGGGTTTAGCATTTATGAGAGTGCTTTGTGGTGAAGATTCTCTTCTGAGAGGTGGCAATCCGTGGTATTTCAACAAGTATTTTTAGATGTCTTCACTGTGGAAATTATGTAGGATACTTACATCAACTAAAAAATCATATTGTGCTAGTTTTCAGAGGCTAAAACCATACTTAAAATATGAAGTGGAAAGCTCCTTTTTTGTGCATGCTGCAGCTCAGTTAGTGGTGTTCTGCTGCCTGCTCTATAATCGAACAGTACTCTGCAGTGATTATGCTGCTTCTGGCTTCCACCACCACAATTATCACAAAGAGTTGTTTCCTTTAGAGAACGGGAATTGTGTTCTGTGTTGAGCAAAAGATCTGTAAGATATACCTGATGCAGTAAGCCCTGTCATTTCTAAAATGACATGTGAAGATGTACCAGTATAAGACAGTGTCTGTAAAATTCTGGGCACACTTCCCTCCTTCCCAGTTTTCTGCCTGAGACATTAAATCAGATCTTGTTATAAACCACCTAAAATACTTGTCGTTCAAGTGATATCTGAGTAAATACTTTAAGAAGAAAAATATTACTGGAATTTTGTTCAGTATCCCTTCCAATCAAGTTAAATGAAGGTGTTTTATGGAACTCCTGTTTCAACTTTAGAGCTGATTAAGTTTGACTTGAGTACAGAAAACAGTATTTGTATATCTTGTATGCTCACTATGGGACTGCTTGAGATCCCTTAATGTACATGCTTGTTAATTTTAAGAATGCATCTAAGTATGCTTTGACCTTGTTTATTTTCTCTTTTTTTAAAGTATTATGTGTTCCACAGTTGTTTTGCCTCTACGTTTAACACATTAGCCCAGTTACATTGAGGAAGAGGGAAAGATTGTATTTTTATTTTCTGCTCTTCCATCCGTGTTCACAGTTCTTGAAAGTCAGGGAAATGAGGTGAACTTTAGGAAGCATTTTAAAGGAAACATTAGGAAATGTTTTAAACCCCAGGACTCAAGGATAAAAAATATGCAAGTATTGTGTGAATCCTCAAATTCAAAACCA